TTGTCCAAAACGGAATTGGATGGAGAATGCTTGTGGGTGGCTTATGCTACTTCATGAGGAGTAACAGGAGTAATGAAGTGGTTCTACACTAGGACTGATTACAGTATAGAATGTCTATAAGTCTATGGTCATTCTATTTCTTTTTGAACTGTACAATATATTTCTAAATATTAAATACTGTACAGTTGAAACTTAATTTCAATGTCTTTGTAAGGACCCATTATAAATATAGTCACTCATTTTTCAATAAAAGAATAACTTTCAGGATATTCTTTCTACAACTTAATGGAATATGAATGAATTAAATAGTACTTGCCCTGAAGTAGCTGAGGGTTATCTATCTAAATAATGTTGGGAAAAAATTAACACTAAGATTATATTGTAAAGGCTAACAAAATGAGGATATGCTTTTACAAACAGCATTTTTCTAAGTAATCCAAATGGTCAATGTTCCAAACATTCAATCCAGCACTTACCAAAATCTTAGGTGAATACTGTCTAGTTGTAAACTATATATCGTTTTTCAACTAAGGCGAATCCTGATACATTTCAGCCAGCATATAAAGAGCAAGGATAGAGAAGTATGCTGTATATGGAACAATATATTCTCTTGAATTGAATGTTATCATCAAAAGGGGGTTTCGTGAAGCTTGTAGTAACTTTATATAGTTGAGATCATGAGTAAATTGAAGCTAGACCACCATGGAAAACCTAGAAGCACTGAACGGCTGTTTCGTTCTATTGTGGGACTTCTCTGCAGTGCGCATCCACGATCCCGCCTCGCGAGATTCAAACCCAGGATCAACAAGTCTCGCGCAAGAGCACTTAACCGGCATCCATATAAACAATTTAATTACTATGAATAATGTTAAAAAGTTTTACTTAACTAAAACATATCCCTGTAATTAAATTTTAACCAATCTTGCAATGAACTTGATTGGGTCTCTCGGTGAAATTACACCTGATCTACAATGCATTGTCACAAATACTTGATAGAAAATATTCAAATTGATGACTGAATATACTCGAACTACTATCAGACAGTTTTTAACACAACCCTCATTAATTTGAATATTTCTATTGATACTACTGATATTTTTATGAGTAGAACAAGCTGATAAACATCAGAACAATGGAAAAATCATGATAAGCTCTTACAGTTCTGTTAATACAGAAACTCAGCACAGGTCATCAAAGAAAATAACAGCAGTATGATTGGTGATATTGTAATGTAAAGTTGCTAACGAAGTTTACATTTTCGTTAGGAAACGGGTACATTTAAAGTATGTTAGTTTGTTAAGCATTTTACATTAGAAAAAAGGTTGGTATTATCATGTTGTTGATATTCCGGATACCATTAGACCAACATGTCAGGATAGATGCATCATTAATGAATAGCGTGGTGATAAGTATCATATATGAGCTACTAATCAGTCCTTAAGCGATTTCAATTACATATACAAGGTAACTAACTCAAAGAATTTATACAACGTATTATGTATAAACCGTTTAACAACTTGTATCATCACAATTTACTTCTGTTAACCCTCTTAGAGGAGCGTAGGCTGCCCACCAGCATTCTCCATCAAACACTGTCTTGGACAATCCTTGTCAGTCATTCTTCATCCCTTTAATGTTTGCCTCCAGTTGCCGACCTAATGTATTCATTGGTCTTCCTCATTCTCTATTAGCTTCAGGATTCCAAGTTAGCGCCTGCCTCGTGATGCAGGTCGATGATTTCCACAATGTATCCTGTCCACCCTTTCCTATTTCCCTATTCAGTAAGAAGCTGATTTGTTCTCCACCATAATAGGTTGTTGCTGATGGTATCCGGCCAATGGATATTCAGTATCTTGCATCTCAATGATTGGCTAGCCCTTTCCCTTCTTGAATAATTGCTGCGGTTTTGTACATTTTCCAGCTACTTCCTTAGTTATTTCATATAGTTGTCTCATATTTCATTCACTTACAGCTTTTTCTGCTGTCGTTGCTAAATCTTCCACTTATCTCTGTTTGTCATCTCTTGTGCTTCATTTCACTTGTTTGTTCTCTTCTGCTTTGACTTTTTCTGCTCGTGTTCGACTGTTGTCAATTGCTGTCTTCTTGTTCTTCCTTTCTTGAATCTTGTTGACGGTTCCCATAGAGATCCATTCCTTATGATGATGCTTCTTAGGACTCAGAACCTCTTCACACGTTGAAGTTAGTGATTCTTTTATCCCTTTTCAGTTGTCATGCATCGTATTTTCTTGTTCTCTCAGTAGATCCTGTAGAGCTTGGAACCTGTTGTTGAGTTATCTTTAATTGTTTGAGTTTGTTAGTATCTCGAAGGAAGGCTGTATTTAACCTTTGTAATGCTCGTTCCTTAGTGGTCCATTGCTTCTTCAGCTTCATGTATCGTTGCAACAATAACCTATTCGTTCTTATGACAAATAACGACAACGATTTTGTTCTGCTCTACCTGTTTTGTTATTCTTAATAATAACGTGGATATCTAAAAAATGTCTGCATTAGTTTAGTGAGTTTTAGAAGTATTTTCTTTCTCTGCATCAAATTATCACAATCTACTTCAGTGAGGTAATTAAACATCTTTCAAATGCAAATAAAACTCTGGAAAAGTACGTTTCGTTCAGCGTTACAGTTAAAATAAGATAACTTAAAATCAAAACTTATTGATTGATGTTTTCTCCTACAGTTAATATTCGAAGACTGTTAAAGTTTTTTATTCGGTTCCAATCAGCAAGGGTAATACAATCAATGAAAAGTAACTCTGAGACAATTGTGATATCATATACATAGGTTATTACTTACGTCCACTTATCTCAACATGTACTGTCATTTGAAGTTAAACTTTGAGGCTGGAAATGTCCATTTAAAGATATAATACCACTCATTTCAATTAATAACTGTTTATGTTGATTATGTGTAGAAGAAATGGTTATCTGAACACGGTGAATAAACAATGTATTTCCTAATATTCGGAAAGAATTGATTTTCCGAGTCATATGCTTAAAACTCTTTCTAACGTAAATGAAAATATCTTTATTGTTTAGTTAATATTTTTCATAAATCCGTCCAGTTTGGAAATAGTTTTTGTAATCCACCAATACCGGATAGAGAACTACTAGTAATCTAGGAGAACTGAACAACTGTTTCATATGTGCGGTCATGAGGTAGATGATGCTCTCTGTAGGATTTGAGTCCAATCTACGTAGATTAATCAATCAAGATAAAATTTCAGTCTATAGAGCTACGTAACGTCTGTTTGAATCCCACTGCGAGGATCGATTTCCTCAAGATTCCTAGTACGTCCTGCTAATGACTGCCAATTAGCAGGACCTTTAGGTCCAGGCCCTACTGTTGACTACCCTCAATACATACAGTAGAATATGTTCACTCACTTATATTAGTGGTCAAGTTGCAACTTGATCATTAAAATTCGATCGGCACCAAGGATTTAACAACAATGATAAAGGTCACTACTCAGCGACTAATTAATATATTTCTGGAATAAATCACAATCAGTGGGTACTGAACGCATCATTAAATCTAGTAAAATTCTGTGAGATCAAGACTGGAGTCAGTGACTTATAGAAATTTGGACATAAAAACGTGTTTATTAGAAGGTGCAAAAGTTGATATTTCATTGAAAATATCATCTTTAAAGTAATAGCCCCATATCGAACTGGATAATGTTTACGAATCGGTGGTCGCCTGGCAAACAGCTGAAACATTAACTATAAGGAGCTTGCACAGTAGATACAGCTATATTTTTTCTGATTACAGTTCTGGGAGAAAACATTTCATTGTAGGGCGAATTTCGATGTGAAGATAAATATGAAGATTTTTATTATTTACATAATTGTTATGACTAATGTTATCGCATTTATATCCCGCGGAGATTTGTGAATGGTAACTTTTGAGAACTGTTTATGGACCAATGTGATATGTATATTTCCTATTGTATAATTGCTAAGTAACTAAACTGTTCATATTCGTATTCCTCTTCTTATAAGCTTCATTTTGACCTATAGACTATTATAATACGATTTACCATTCTTGAGTTATCCCTAGTCCATTAATTACTGTTCCCCCTATTCACATCCACATTTGGCCAAATTTTGTACAAATGTTATTTTCTATTTTATTGTACGATGTGGTCTGTCTGTTTGGTATATAAACCCAGTATGTTTGAGAATGATGATTGATATTGCAGAGGCTGTTATTGGTGTTCTGAACTTAATTGGCTGGGCTAGGAAGAAAGCTGGACTGAGTAGTGCTCAAGACTGCTCATAGGATTTTGTGCATCATTGGATCCGATCGATAAAATCGCTGCTCTCTAATTGGCGGTCATATAACGTTCATATATATTAACTGGGCACTCACCCAATCGATATAACACAACTTGTAGATAAATATTTAGGAAAGAAAATATGGTTCAAAAACCATCTCAACAATCATAGCTGACGAAATAGGGATTATATAAAGATATGTATGTTTTAAATAGTTCATAATAACAACCCTGGTATTTAAAAATAATGTAGTTTAATAGTAAAAAAATTTAATTTTCGACTGTAAATTTGAATCAAACCGCCACAAAATTCAAATATTATCTTCAGTCTCCAAAGTATGAGCGTAAAATTTGATGTTATATATAAACTTTGGTTCATATTAATGTAGTTTAGTCAGTGGTTAACCCTTCCCCGGAGAAAATCGTGTGTATAACTATTCAGTAATCAACCTCGCAAGGCGAAGCCGTGGATGCGCACTGCTGAGGAGTCCCACAATAGGACGAAACGACCGTCCAGTGCTTCCAGGTTTTCCATGGTGGCCTAGCTTCAATTGACTTAAACTTTCAACTATGAAAATACTAAATCTTCACAAAAAAACCCTTCTGATAATATTTTACAAGTGTTCTTTTTTATTTAGGGAAGAAGTTAGAATACATTAACACATTAATAAAGATAGAAAAAAACACACCCTAAAACTCATATACACATATATTATAAAAGAGGATTTTCTGGCGTTTCTGTACAGCATCGTCGTTCATTTGATAATATACGATAAGCTTCTCTAATATGCTTTGGTTTTAATGGTCCACTTTCACCTAATTGTTCTTTGTAATTTAATGCTATGAAAAAAAAGTAATTAAAAATCAATAATACAAAAACACAGTAGTTCGACGAATCAATATTCAGGTAGTCAAATGTTCAGATAAATGTGAAGGGAGATTAAATAGAAAGTCGAACAAATATCAAAGCTTTATACAGGTTAGTCGGTTAGTCAGTCACAACGTAGAACTTCGTACGTACGTACATCAATTCAAGTTGCCATACCACAAAAGCATAGAGATGCAGTTTCGATTCAACTTCCATAGTGGTAGAAGTAGTAAGAATATAAGCAGTAACCCAAAAGATTAGGGGTTGAAGATGTTATTGAAGAAGTATAATCCAATGAAGTAAATTTGGAAAGAGAAAAAGATAGAGACATGAAGAATTCAGAAGATTAGGATTTGGCAGAATTCGAAGAGTGGATGCACATTCGCCATTGCAAACGATTTTGAGCCATGTCATTCAAGGTCTCTAACCATCGATTGCTACCATCTCGCGAATCCCAACCAGGTGGTCTACACCTACCGACAAGGCTCAGTCCACTTGTCAGTGACTTCATAGATTTGTGCGACGTTTTGATCTGTCCGCTCCTAGCTTTCTTCCAACTTACTCCTACACCATAAAAGATTGCACGTCGGGTCAGTCGATGGTTGGGCATACGTAACACGTGTCCCAGCCATCTCAACTGATGAAGTAGTGAAACTTCATCAGTTGAGATGGCATCCTGACCTAGTACCCGTTTCCTAACAACTGCATTACTTACCCGGTGGTCCCAGAATATACGAGCAATGCTTCGAAGACACCTATTATCGAATACTAGTAGCCTACGAATATCTTCTACTCTTACCGACCATGTTTCCCTGCCATAAAGTAGGACGGAACGAAGTACTGAGCAGTAAACCTGTCCTTTGGTTGCTAGACGGATATCTCGCCTAGACGGATATGGCGTAGGCGAGATCCTTTATAGAGGTTAACTTTTTGAGAATAAGCACGAGGAATCCCCTTGTGTACAACTACATTTTGTATACAAATATTGTAACTGAAGTCTATTTCACCCATAGTACATATTGTTAACACTATCGTAAACTATTTATGTTGGTAGTTATACATACAAAAATCACCCGACATAATGTAACATATTTGAACCGAGTAAATCATAAGAATACCGTATAATTTTTAAACCGCTAGTACTTGGGTCAATCTGTAATTGATAAGCATCTTGACATATGGAATCTATCAGTTGATGAGAATCAGATCAATCAATCAGATAGTCAGAGATCAACCTAATACAAAATTAATCAGAATATAGAAGATGACAAACGGTTTGAGGAAAACCAATTGCTAGTCCTTTTAATTCTAAAATAGTGATTTCTATTTGTACTGGGCGCTACTAATCTTGTCCAGTAAGATAATAGAAGCGTTATATTTAAACAACTCATTTAGGTGACTGAAACATATTTGAATGGATTCATGTGAGCTACAAATTTTCGCTATCATTTCAATAACAAAAATAGTTTTCAGGTCGTCAGTTTTTTTATTAGTTCTTCAAGTTGGTCGTGAACATATATACTTATAGATTAAAAATAGGGCGTTTAGTGTCCCTTATTTTTCAATTGATTAGTTTTCCGTTGGTAGAAGAATCTTCTTGGGGTAGTTGGTTATCGAAGTCAGAACTTGTGATTCATTTTATTTAAGGTGCGTTTGCTACATTGGCCTGTGTTCTAATTCATGCAAAAGAAGCACCTCTTACATGATTACTAGTTTATTTGAGATATACAGAATAAAAGGTTTAACCGAACATTCGTTGTTATGACAGAAAAACGAAGAAAAGTCTCAGATCATAAAAGAATAAGTCATGTTGTTAAATGTTATCCATATATATTTTCCGACTAGATACGTTTAAGATATGAACGTTTGACACTGACTTTATACCGCTTCCAAGTCTGATAAAAATCTCCTACACTTGAACACCGAACAGAGGGCGAGATGTATAAGAAGAAGCCTTACTTTCAAAGTTAGTTCAAGTGAAGAAAAAAAGAAGTTTATAAGTTAGTGCATGACGATGATACTCTAGAAGCTTTTGGAAACATGCAGGAATTCGTGACAAAATTGACGATTATCTAATCAAGATGTAATAAATAATCAATCAAACTCTCTGGAAACTTTCTGCTGGAAACTAACTAGACGAAGTATTATCAGACTATTTCCAGTTTTTGAAAGCTTTTCCGAAAACTTCATGTGGGCTTCCAAAAGTTTTAATTTTCAGTTCTCTTTATCATCGATACAGTAATGATGTACGAGAAGATGTACGTCTTGAAAATATTCTTAAATCACTTAAAATTCTGTTTCAAATAGACTTTCTAGATTGAATCAATTCATAGTACTTTTGTATTGCGAAGAACTTTCATAAAGTCTGTTTTAAAAATGAATAAAATGACCATTTTAATTGATATATGGAAGGGGTGACCTGTCGATTTAGTCCATTCATAGTTAATCAATTTCAATATTTCCCTAATGTTCGAGTTTTTACAGTTTAGGATAAAATGATGAGAATAGACATTTTAAATCAATCTGATAAAGGAATCGGTACAAATGATTAGATACTATAACAAGTTAGTGTGTTTCGCACAATGTGAGGTATAGACTGAATTATTATTCTACAAGCAATACACAACTCATTATGACCTATTCATATACGAAAAGTGACACTTTAACCATTATTCAAGCCCCAAAATGCCATGGTATGACCGAGAGTGGGGAAAGTTAGCTATCCCTCTCCAAATGCTCTCACATGGCCATGCTTATATAGCCTATGCCAGTGAAGTCCTACTCATTACCTTCTCGTGGCGGGGGTGTTATTTACGAAATTGAGAGGACGAAAAGCCAATGTCCGGCGCATTAACTGGATTGGTGGACACGGAAAGTCCACCTAGGGGAATCGGAAAATCCTGATTCCACATGGGCTCCAGGATCCTGAGGGAACAAATCGAGTATGAATCAATCGTTGGTCACCGGTTACCATGGGACTGCATCTCCTGACGATGCTCCACTGCCTTGTAGATCAGATCTTTAGGTCAAAGGCTCCGGGTGTGGTCTCCTAAAAAACCACCTGCTTCAGTTTGGGCACCTGGGCAGTATCACATCCCTCACACAAATCAAATGAGATTTTTGTGGCGCATAATTATTTGGTGCCTCCTTGTACCAATTTTTATGTCTTTAAATAAATAAGTTGATTACATATTTTGTAAGAGGAGATTCTACTATCTTCATAAAAGATAATTTTATCGTACGATGCGTTCGCATTCATAAGCTACCACTGAAATTGGAGAGCAGGACATGATGGGACACTAATTAGACAGAAAAAGAGTGAAGGTTGTTACATAGAAAATGAATAATATATTCAAGATTGAATTATAGAGCTAAAGAGTAATAATTCCTACTGGAGTCCTATGGAAAATAAAGTATTCTCAAGCCATGCAAATGAAGGGGATTAAAACCTGGGTTCGAATCTCGCCAGTGCGAGATCGTGGATGCGCACTGCTGAAGAGTCCCATAAAAGGTCGAAACGGCAGTGCAGTGCTTCCAGGCTTTCCATAGTGGTCTAGCTTCAATTGACTCATGATTTCAGCAATGATAAATATTATATATTACATATTTATAAGATAGACAAAATAAACCCTAAAAGTGATGTCTTTGAGAATTTTATCGCAATAAATAACATTTGATTAGTGTTGCATTCGAACTAAGAATAAATGATTGATAACTGCTAGGGATAATTTATGGACTATTATTACATATATTCTTATTGGGTAATTATTAAGTAAGCAAACTATATATATTCGTATTCCTTTCATTTGACCTATTGGTCATTATGATACAATTTACCATTCACGATTTATTAGTTACAGTTTCTCACACTCACATCCACTTATTGGCTTGATCATGTATAGTCGTTATTTTTTATTTCATGGTATGATGTGGTCCGGTTTGCTTGTATATAAACCAAGTATGTCTGAAATACATGGTTCATACAGTAGAGGTTGAGATTGCTTTTTTGACTCGATGGGAATGACCGGGCAATAAAGACCAATCGGGATTCAGAGTTAACACACGGCTGTTACTGCTGTTTTGACGAATCATTGGTTTAACACAAGAACAAGGTCATATTAATTTAGTAGTTTGATTCATCAGTTGATTTAAGCTAGACCATAATGGGAAACATGGAATCACTGGACGGCTGTTTTATCCTAGTATGGGACTTTCCAATAGTACGCATCCATGATCCTACATTCGGGACAAGACGGCCATTCAGTGCTTCCAGGTCTTGAAGGGTGGTCTAGCTTAAATGAACTCATGAATTCAACCATTTAATTACTACGGTTTCCACAAACTTTCATTATGATAAGGTTATATTAGTCGATATTTTGATTGGCGATTTAATTACATGACAACTAACAAGGAAAACGTCACAACAATTCGATAAATTATTCATGTATGCATATTTTGATGAAAAAGAAGTTCTACTCACCTTCTTCAACTAGTTCTCCAATAAAAACTTTTGTTAAACCAGCCATAGCAATAACTACATTTTGTGAAACTGAACATGGAGCTATAGATTGTATCAGCTGTGGGGAAAAAAGCAAACAAATGATATTGTGACAACAACAAATTAAGACTAAATGTTAATTAGACGATTTAAATAAATAGTTGCGTACTCTTCAGAAACCCTAATCTAGGATAAAACAAATATTTAATGTCCCCTTGTTGTTGTTAGGGATGCTCTCAATGAAAACAATCAATAACAAACACCATTCTCAAATATAAATATGTTCATCAAAGAAAAAAACGGACATCTATCTAAGTTGAACAGTACATTAAGATTAGCTTGAATGCAAATAAGCATAACTAATAACCAGCTATTTGAATTCAGACTACAATTCTGGAGGCTAATGATCGAAAATCAGTCTTTCGTCAGTACACGTAGGTTTTTAAACCACACATTTTTCGAATCAGGATGACCAGTTAGACAAATGAAATGATGAACACTTTAATTAAAGTAAAAACAATATCACGACAGCAATACCAAGTAAGTGAAATGGAAAACACGGTCATTACTCAATCTTTTTTGTCAAAATGAAATCCCATAAAGATGACTATTTGATTAACCATTACAAAAAAATTATTTTTTACATTGAAAAATAAATAATATGAAGTTTACATAGTTGAGATCATGAGTCAATTGGAGCTAGACCACCATGGAAAACCTGGAAGCACTAGACGGCCGTTTCGTCCTATTATGAGACTCCTCAGCAGTGCGCATCCACGACCTCGCCCCGCGAGATTCGAATCCAGGACCTACAAGTCTCACACGCGATCACTTAACCGATAGACCACTGAGCTAGCTGGCATCCAACGGTGTTAATGTCTAACTTTAACCAATCCACGAAATCGAGTAACCATTCACCAATGTCTTCAGTGAGTTGATATCTCCCAACAGATCTGGTTGAACTCCACTGGTTACTGCTTCTCACTAGAACTCCAGGAAATACCTGATGGAGCCAGTCACTAGTGAGCATATGATCATTATCAGAAGGGGGAGGAGTCCCACAATAGAACGAAACGGCCGTCTAGTGCTTCCAGGTTTTCCATGGTGGTCTAGCTTCAATCGACTCATGATCTCAACTATATAAAATTACTAAAATCTCCATAAAACCCCTTTCGAATATGAAGTTTAGTTTTGTCCCAAACTAACATTAAAATACACTGAATAGCTGTTGCATGCTATTTGGGACTTTTCAGTAATGTTCACTAATAACTTCAAATAATTTTGAACACGTAACTATAAAACCGTCGAAAGGGCATCACATCTTTAGATCAGCAAAATTAAGATTCGATGATTTCGTTATAACCTGGATTTTCACGTGAACATAAATATACTTGTCCGATCTCTTAATTAAGATCGAGATATGAACGTCACAGGTTATATTGACCGAAATTACCAACTGGAAGTATAAATGTGTACCTTCCAAATTAAATTGAAATAAAACACATATCATTGATCCAAATATCAGTCATTAACCGAATCTATTATAAATAAACTTTTATTATTATTACAATACCAAATCATTATAGATTCATACATTAGAATGATAACACTAATACTACGGTAGTAAACAAGAACATGACTGGGGACAATCGAATGTATTTAAGCATAAAATTACAGACTATCTCACTAAATTCTGATAACCATACAACAAACAGTTAATTTGCAAAATAACAATCAATTGTCTCAATCTTAACTGTTCCTTCTGTAAATATCAGTCTGTTTTCTTTGATTTCATTGTTCATGCATTTTCATACCGATTGCGATTCATTTCTGTTCGTTTCTTATTGATCTTCTGCCAAAATACATTCTATGTCTGAACATCACTATACACTGCTTATGTAGGTATACGTAGACCACACAACACTACTACTAATAATAATACCAATAAACCCCTAGTTTATAACTAGATGAAATTCATACTAGATTTATTCATCATAACAACTAAATTATTTTTTGTTTGTTTTTAGTTTTGTCATAAAACAAGGTAACTTTTTTTAAAGTGTATACAGATTAGATAAACAATGATTTATATTGTTTGAAAAAAAAACAAATTATTTTTGAAATTTTATAAGTCAATCCTGAGTAAAAACAGTAATCGATAAGAGTTAGTATTGAAGAAAAACAAAAACAAAAAAAAGAACCTTACAAACACGTTTGTTTGTTTTTTAAGTCAGCGCTTATTTAGTTTCAACTATAACGATTTTGTTATTATCCCTGTCATGTTAATTGTGTAGAACAAAGAAGTAAAGTTTTTTTTTAAAATTATTACTTAAACATATAGTATATCACTGAACAGTAAGAGATGTAGTTGGCTAGCAGTGGAATCCAGGACACTCGTTTCGTCCTATTTGGGACTCGCCAACTGGATGTACCTGCATTACAGAGTTGATGTTCACTCTGGGACTCGAACCCAGATTAAACCAAACAATACCAAGTGAATTTAAACTTCAATTCATTGCACAAGCAAGTGACTATCAAGACTCAGTAGTTGATGGATAACGTGATGACGTTTGAAGCGAACGTTACTGAATTAGAGTCCCAAAGTGAAAATCAACTCTGAAGTGCAGGTACATTCAGTTGACGTGCCCGCAATAGGACGAAACGTGTGTCCTGGATTCCACTGCTAGGCACTATCCATCTTTGCATATTTTCTATGTTTTCTATTTTCTTTATCACTAACAATTCTACGAATCCTACTACCGTACTAAAATTCATTTTGACAACATTATCTCTCTTTGTAAAAGTGTAGTGTGGCAACTTAAACCGATGCGTGAGTTAGGTTCCAGGTTGCTTATGACTGATCAATTTTCCCTTTCTAGATTGTTTAGTGAATAAATAGTGGAAGTCAATTTGCTGTTCAACATATTAACTTTCCTGTCACCACATATAATCATCACAAATTTTTAAAACTGGTCAAAATATTTTTGAAATAACTATTTGAAATAACCTTAGTCAATAAGTTAGGTCAATTGAATTGGGATCTAATCAATTCTCATATTTCATTTGATTATCAGTCAGTCAGCTACAACGTAGGACCAGGCACACATATGCATCGGTCCAAGTTGCCATACCTTGTTAGCACAACAAGATGAACACCGGATTCATAGAAATAGCTAATTTAGTGGTGATAGTATATAAAAGATAGGTTGTATATAAAGATATAATATAGGAAGGAAGAACGCTATGAAGCAATTTTAATCTCAAGGTTTAAGGGAAGATAAAGAGTGTATACACCTACGCCATTGTGATTATAGATAAAATCAAAAATTAATAAGCCATTCATTCGAATTAATGATTGATGCTAGTTTATAAAGAATAAATAAAACAACAGAAAAATCAAATTATAAACTTACTCGTCTTACTACAGCTTTAGTAAATGTAGCTCTACGAAATGTTTCGAATCGATTTAATTGTTCCTCATCAAAATGTGCTAATAAAGCTAATAATTTACGATCTTCTATTTTTCTCGCTTCTTTTTCTTGTTGTAATACAGATGATATAATATCACTGACAACAGATTCACTATCTGCATCACCAAGTACAGTAGCACTATCATCTTCATCTTCTTCCTCTTCATCATCATCTTCTTCTTCATCTTCATCATCTTCAACTGTTTCTTCATCATCTAATAAATTAGTATTAGTTAAAATTTCAACTTCACATTGATTTGTCACAGTTTCTGATATATGCGTAGATGATGAAGGAACAGATGATTGTTCAATGACTGGAATAATATTAGATACATTAGGTTCACCTCGTTTAGTTTGTAATGAATCTATATTCTGTTTAAAAACGAAATTGGGACAAAACAAAAATGAAAGAAATTATCGCTAATATTTTGTGGTAAATTAGTGAAATATTTATGACGTAAGAGTAAACAATATTAGGATTATAAATAAGCAAATGAGGATTCAATTAGCCCCCGAAAGCCCTGGTAAGGCTGAGAGTGGAGAGGGGTCACCCTCCCTCTCGAAATGCTCTCACATGGCCACGCGTATATAGCCTCTGCCAGGGAAGTCCTACTCATTGTCCTCTCGTGGCATTACTGTTGTTTACGAAATTGAGAGGACGAAAGGCGGATGTACGGCGCTTTAATCGTACTGTGGACACGGAAAGTTCACCAAGAGGAATCGGAAAACCCTGATTCCAAACCAATGGTGCACATGGACTACAGTATCCCGAGGGAACAAATGGGGTATGAATCAATCGTCAGTCACCGGCTACCATGGGACTGCACCTCCTCACGATGCTCCACTGCCTTGTGGATCATATCTTTAGGTCGAAGGCTCCGGGTGTGGCCCCTAAGAAACCCACCTGCTTCGATTTGGGCACCTGGGCAGCATCACAGCTCTCACACAAATCAAATGAGATTTGTATGGCGCATATGTATCCGGGGCCCCTTTTGCCAATATTTGTGTTTAAACAAATAAAATAAATTCAACTGAGCAAGAAACTTTCAAATACGAAAAAAATTCTATATTGTAAATTGAAAAAACATATATAAGTGAATAGTATTGCTTTCAGTTACATCCTTACTAGGTTATTGCTGTAACAAACAGGAATATTTATAGGGTTGTTATATCTTGTGCCTTGTGGATGCCCTTTTAATGTATAACATGGTAAGACCGCCAACCAGAGAGCAGTGATTTATCGATTGGACCAGTGACACACGAAACTCGTACGCGCAGTCTAGAGTACGTGTCGGTCCTGCTTTATGCTTAGCCTAGACAGTTAAGTCCAAAACATCAAAAACTATCTCTGCAATATGAATAGTTTGGTTAGTTAACAATTATACAATAAAAATATACATATAATATTGGTCCATAAACGGGTCCCAAAGTCACCATTCACTATTGTTATCGGGACATAACAAAGGGTATATAAAAATATTAAACAAATCAAGGCAGTTTAAATAGACCACATAACTAAATATAATCAATAAAAAGTACGAATCGATAATGTGGTGAAAGGTGTACAGGTTGTGATAAAAATAATAATAATAAGCTTGAATCAATGTTTCATCATAGAAAATAGGGCATTGAAATAATATTCATTTAAAGTCACTAAAATTATGTAATCAGTAGTATCCAAATAATTAGATAGTGAAGAATAAATTCGAAAAGGGGGTAAGGAAAAATGAACGAACAAAGAGTATAGATAATAATAATAAGTAAAATCGTTTGCTAAGTTTAGTTCCCTCAAGGAAGAGATAAGGGTGTTACAAATTTCTTACGAATACAAATACTTGGGTTGTTAGCTGGAATCCATATAGCTTCCGACTTATACAAGAGACGGAATCGAACCCATAAGCTAAAGTACTAGGTATGCGGTAAAATTCTCTTGGATTATTTAGTTCTATCTACTATATGACTGTTATCGGCCAAGTGTGATAGAACGAAGCTGAGTATTATTTTGGTTATAACTTTTAACATTGGTAAGAGTTATTGCATGTCTAAAAAGGTTAGAAAATAATTCTGTGCAATATTCATGATTGTGTGAATCCGAACTTCATTACTCCTATGCTTATTGTAACTGGTTGATATTTGGGCGCTTACAACAATAAAAATAGAGTAATTCGGAACATCATTTCACTAAAGAGAAAACCACTGGTATATGTTGTAAATTATTCAGTTGAATATCAAAAAAACAAAATAAACCTACCATATTAATCAATTTTGGCTTTTTAAATGGTTGTTCAACAATGGGTTGATTATCATCATCCGAAACAGACTGAACTGTAGTTGTAGATAAGGGGACTTCATTCTGATGTGTTAAATCTGGATCTTGACTCCAATTTTGTGTAGTGTTGTTATTTTCATCATTGATTGGATAAAGACTTTTTAAAGTAGGATCCATAATTCCCGAAGAGTTAGGGAATGATTTGGTTACAATCGTGAATCTGTAAAAACAGTACCACCTTTTTTTTAAAAACATAGGAAGGTATACTTTGATGATGAATTTAACTAGACAGAAATCATTCAAAAGCTTCCTGTTCAGTGCTTCTATACACCTATACTTAAGATAAAAATACGATACAGCATCCAGTCACTTATCTTAGTGATCTCATCTGACCCGATTGACAACATAAAAGTGATTATTACTCAGTGAGAATCGTCACGTTTTAGGACTGTTTAGAGAGAAATGAAGTGTATATTGTCCCAAGATTGGTTGATTTCCTAACATTTGAATTGAATTTTCCTACATAAGAAAACATGTTTCAACAGTCTAAGTTACTACAGAGTTGTGACTTTATCAGACTACTTAACATTTTTAAGTTGAACTGTAAGTATGGATATCAGAAATACCTATTAAGTAACAAAATTTCGTTTTTACTTACCACACATCAATCGTCTATTTCTTAATTATCATAATATTTTATCTAAGTTTTGTTCGTTGAATCTTCCCATTGATGTTTGGCACTGCAATTGATCAGTCTCTTATTGGCATAATGTGCGAATGGCTTCAATATTGCCTTAACTCACAAGCATTATGAGCAAAGATGGATAGTGGCTGGCAATGGAATCCAGTACGCGCGTTTCGTCCTATTTTGGACTCGTCAGCTGGATGCACCTGCATCTCAGAGTTCACTCTGGGACTTGTGAATTAAGGCAATATCGAGGCAACGCGCACAGTATGCACATATGCCAATAAGAGACTGATCAATTGCAGTCCTAAACATCAATGGGAAGATTCAAACAAACAATACCAAGTGAATTTAAACTTCACTTCATTGCACAAGCAAGTGGCTATCAGGACTCAGTAGCTAAGTGAATAACGTGATGGTGTTTGGAGTGAATGGTACTGTGTTCGAGTCCCATAGTGAACATCAACTCTGAGATGCAGGTACATCCAGCTGACGAGTCCCAAATACAACAAAATGAGCGTCCTGAATCCCATTGTTGGCCACTATTCATCTTTGCTTATAATCACTTCATAATTATCACAAGTTTGGACAAACAAATTGTAGGAGAAAAGTGAATTTATAAGTTCCGATCAAAATTAAACTATTGATTTTCGTTATTCAATCATTTAATAAAAATGTAAAACATCATGATACCCAGAAAGTTAAATTAATTATTTAATAAAAATTGATACCTGTTTTGTAATTCGGTCTTGGATATGTTGAAAATTAAACACTTCAATCAGTGAGATAAAATGAAGAATATGATTTACAGAAAGTAATGGTAATTATATTGATATATAAAAATTGAGAACAGAAAGCAGAACTGTGATCACACAACTAATTCAACTGGTACAAGTGGATTATTTCCGTTTAATGACCACATGCTAAATAATCAGTCCTGAGATCAGATTAATAATCTTTTGGAGAATGTGGTAAAAACCAAGTAAATAGGACCATATCAAAACTCATGTGTCTTAAATACAAATCCCTTGATTATAGTAACGATATACAGAAGTGTTCAGTAAGCCCTTCAAGACTAGCTTGATTACAAAACAGAATCAACATAGTCATTCAAAGTTGATAAGTGAGCATAAATATCTCAACCAAACTGTAAAAGGACGATACAGTGATGTGGAAAAGTGAATCGTTTAAGTATAAAGGTGTTCCCTATTTATCAGTTCTTTCTGGCAAGTAATGCAGATCAAACGCTTAAACAACAAACCAATAGATGAAACGCACATGAGCTTTTAAGTTACGACCGTATATTTATTGGTTACATGATTAAACAATTCTACAAGTGAACTATAAAATAAATCACATGGACAAACTTAAGATGTTTTGTGACTCGAAAATTTTTAAGTTCTAATTGATGACTATCATGTAATGATTTCTTCAGCAAAAAACAACAGCAATCATAAAGTTTTATCAACGTGGAACAAACCACAGAATGTCAGTTACTTCATATTTAGAAAGTAGTGGCTTGAGGATATCATAGCTCTTATGATTACATCCTAATTTTATTAACAGAAAGTAATTTGAAACAAGCCATATTGTGTTAGTATTGTTAAGAGCCATGTTGGCAGATGCAGACTACTTGGTTGGGGTCCGCGTGACTATCGTAACCAATGGTTGGAGACTCTAGGTGACAAGGATCAGAATCGATCAAAATGGCGTAAGTGTATACACTCTTTATCTTCCCTTAAACCTTAAGATTAAAATTGCTTCATAACTTTCTTCCTTCCTATACTATATCCTTATATACAACCTATCTTTTATATACTACCACCACTAAATTAACTATTTCTATGAATCCGGTGTTCATCTTGTTGTGATAACGAGGTATAGCAACTTGGACCGATGCATATGTGTGCCTGGTCCTACGTTGTAGCTGACTGACTGATTGAAGTATAAAATTAAATTTTGTGTGTTCGGAGGCAAAGCTTTGGACCTACAAAAATGACTAGACAAACATGACAATAGCTGTGTGCTAGTGATTAAAACGCATAAAGCTATTTTGAAAATATACACCGGGATGGTAAACATAATTAGGATCTTTTTATAATAATGGCGGAATTTTTAACTAATACATTCCAATATGGTTGACCATGTTGACTGGTAGGAACTATATTGAGAAAAAAAATTCAACCTCAATAGATAGATGTACACTAATTATGTTGCAATTACGGCATCGACTGAATATGGACATCTAATTATAAATGAAGCTTTTGATCCCTAAGGTTGAATAAATAATTTACAAATCGGGATAGCTATTTATCGCTTTGTATCAAATCGGAAATGTGTATGTTATACCATTTAATTAACTCAAATGCTATTAATTCTCTTACATCTGTTCCAGACAAATAAACAATAGTACTTAAGATTAGTGCTCATAACTGAAGATTGGAGATTAAATCCTTAAATGCAATTTATTAGGAAGAAACTCAGTATAATTTTATACTGATTTAAATGTAACATTCATTGAGATGGTGGAGAGGATTTGTAGCTCAGGTGGATGATTTTGATGGAGTTTTGTTCTCTGAGTTGGATGGTTTAGTTGTGGAGCTTTCATCGTCCTTCTGAACGACATCATCAGCACAAACTCCGGGTAGAAGTGAAGTGTTTGAATTGCCTCTATAGAGGCAAAGATAAGTATTAAGGGGTCACGGTTCAATTTTACACTAAATGCTGAAAATGTATCATAAGATGAAAAAGATCGAGTGTTTTTAGTTTTTTAACGCCTGTTATCTACAGCGCCGAAGGATTTCTTTCTAAGGGACTAAAGAAAGAAATTGAGCAGGTAGTAGCCCTATCAAACTAGGGGTGCAACAAGGCAGATGTTACGTTATCATATGAATAGATTTGGACATATTAGTTCAATATTTCGCAGACCTTACGATCTCCAGTGAGAATCCGTGGGGGATGGTGAAGTGTGTTATTTCTAGAGCCGATAATTCCTAACTCCCTTCTGTTATGAGAAGTCAGCATAGCTGGAGAGACTGTCTATTTATAGGACACACGAATTTACCATCACATGTCAAAACCATTGGGAGTATGACGCGTTTTTGCCTCTAGTCATAACGCTTTACAACAAGTATATCTGGCATGATATAACGTACACCCTTTGATATTGATAAACTAAGTGGAAAATCTAATCAGATAGTAAGAAAACTATCACTTGGAAACCAATAAATTCATTTGGTATTTCGTATCCTATATAAAACTATTTTAAGTCTACTGATTACTCAATTAACCAGCATACATCATACAAAAATAGCTAATATCGCATATATTCTATGCCAATTTTAAGAGCGAACAAAATTATCTGTTTGAGTCGAACTAAACAGAATAGACTTAGAATTAATTCAAACTATAAAGGAACTTTTAGTCTATCAACCAATGGCTAAAATATACTTGATCACAACAACTTCATAGAGCAGACATACATATTTATTCTATGAAGAAAAAGAGTATTTTACGAAAAACATATTTTGGATTTTATTAAAAGAAAGAAATTTTTTTGTACAAATAAATGATGAACCGTAGTGTAAAAGTTACAAAGATAAACAATTTATGCTAAAACAAAAGAAAGTTAACTGATTGATTATATCTACAACTATAAATGATGTGAATAATGTCCATTACTAATTTTTGTTATTAGAATTTTTTGCATAATCAATAGTATTTTGAACGGCATTAATTAATTGTTCAATCATTTGACATTGTTGACGTAAATGAGGTGCATATGCTGGCCATCGACAGACAGGACATTCAAATGCACCAGTATCTAACCATTTTCGAATACAATATTCATGAAAACCATGTCCACATGGAAGTGCACTTAGTCGTACACCTAAACGAAATTTTTGCCAACATACAACACATTCTTTACATGGTACAACCCATGATGGCCAATCGTTTAAAGGATTTGAAAAATTTATATCATTGGACGACATATATGATGAAGAGGAAGAAGTGGACAATATAGAATTATTGGATAGTAAATTACTACGTTTTGAAATTTTTCGAGAATGAAGAAAACTGTTGTTCAAGTATGCCTCATGATCAATAGTGTCCGTATCTGAGGTAGAACTGGAACTTGGTGATACAATTATTGAATTTGATAAGTGATTACTTCTTATATTAGGACGAAGATGAGTTTTGTACCTTCGTCTTGTAAGAGATGAAATTTTCGGATAAATACGATCATCACTAGAAGTATCTTCATATTCATCTTCAGCTTCATAATTAGTATCCACAACATTACTTATGGGCTGCTTAGTGTTACTAAATGATTTTCTTGTTTGAGAATGACAGTGACTAGAATTTACACTGCTATGAGGCTTAGCATTATTATTACCAAGTGAACTTAAACAGTTCCAAGTGTACATATGTGCTGCAGTTTTGTGGTTTAACGATTCATTATTTTCTCTACTCCCTTGATGATATACATCTGCCGATGAAAACGAAGCAATTGGATTCATTGAAGCTGACGTTAAATGATCAGTTTGCTGACTGAGAATATGATAAAGTCTACGTAGTCTACGCAATAAACGATAACCTTCTACGACTTCTGTATTTTCTTTATGATCACTTTGTGTTGTAATAAGATTGGATGATAGACGTTCATTTGCACATTTCGATTGATTATTAAAAGTTTGATAATGAGGATAACGATTATCAGATTCTAATGTACTTGAAGTTGCAGAATCTGCTGAACCAGATCTTAGCTCAATATCTGATTGAATGATCAAACGAGACAATTCATCCCATAACTGATCAGGTGGTATTTGATTTAACCGTTCTCGAACTAAAACAGGATCTAGTCGATTACGACGAGAATGTGAATTGTTAGTAAAATGATCATTATGTTTTTCATATTTTGACATTATACAACTTGACAAAAATACAATAAACAACCAAAACGTTAACATAAATGAAAATAAATGATACCAGTTTAAATGACCTGATAGGATAGTAAGACGTAAATTGATTATAGGTGAGGATAAAACAAATGACCTTAATAAATAGAGAGTTAAATTAATAATAGGCAAAGAATAAGATAAACTTAATAGATTTAATAATGGTAAAATAGCTAAAAGAAGAAGAACATAAGCTGAGAACAAGTCTAGGAAAAATATTTTTATCCATTCTAAAATATGAGATAATATAAACGATTGTACATTGGTTGATGATGAACTGTTCAGTTGATCACCATGAATTAATCGATTTTCATCAGTTGAACGATAATGATTATCAGTTAGTCTATTATTATTATTATCATTAATAACTTCATAATGTTGATTAATATTGAAATTAGGAATATGAGAAGTCCATCCTTGACGTGCTAGTCTAGTCACAGTTCTAGCTAAAGCTGACCGACGGTTACCAGTACTAGCATGATGCCTTTCCACAACACCATGATTTACATAAAATGAATGTATAAGAATCGATAAAATTCTACCAGCTTCCATAGCACCATTAATTAAGACTAAAATTGTAGTTAAAAGTACAACAATCCAAAGAAAATCATCTGCTGAAGGATATAAAGAGTGTAACAATATTTCAAGATTTTCGTAGCTTAAATATTCCCTTTCATTTGAACCAAATGAGTAACATTTACCTTCGGGTGTTATTATGAGAAAATGAGAATTAATGGTACAATTTAAATTGACTAACAAGTCATGTACTGTGTTAATAGATGAATCTGTGATTGGCCAATTATTGACGTTATTATTAATCGCTGTGTGATTGTGTTTCAGTGTTTCGTTCGTTACAATCCAAAAACGAACTCGACCAGTATATGTTACAGAAAGTGCACTTAAAACTAATGATGGTTGTTGATGTGAGCGACTTAACTTCGACTTGACAGAGAATTCAGGAAACCAAAGAACATGAATTGGTTGAGGTCGTTTCAATAACCAAAATGAAAATAAATGTTTTAAATAATCCATTTTTATCAATCGGTCAATCGATAATATTGAATTTACTGAATAAATGCTGTTTATGTTATTCAATGGTTTTACACGTTCTGCTAACACTGATACAATCCATGTGTGGATACCTTCTAAGATGTAGTTACTTGATTCATGATCAATAATTGATGTAGATTTTGGATCTTTAGGCAAAGGTCGAAATTGTACTATATCTTTCATACGCTCACCACCTTTGGGTAAGGCAAGAATAAGGTCAGGATTAATGAAGCCACGATCAATACAGAGGCTGAAATAAAAAATTCATCATAAAATAATGTGGTACAATATTAGAAACAATTCATTGCTTTAAAGCTCGACAAAAAAAATCTGTTTATTGTACGTTCCTTCGTTTTTAAAATTTTATTAATTCAACAGCAATTTGTTTAACATAGAACTGAGAATTTAGTTACAACAAAAATCAGAAGTTCTATAATATGTTCGAAAGGTACTAACAACAGAGAAGCAACCCTATGCAATTTTAGTGAATTAATTTAAGTATGGAAAGCTATCACATAGTTCAGATAGAGCTTATGAGATTTATTAGCAATTTTTTACTCTTAGAAGCACACTATATTTTTTTGGTGGTAGACAGTTATATCACTACAAAATGATTATAGCTAAGACAATTCCTCATGAACAGTTTTTAAAAGCGCATCCTCTAGTTAAAAACAAATGTTTTAATCTTGTGAGCTAAACCCCCCTTAAAAAGAGAAAAATGATAACACGAATCCATCCACGAATAGTGTTCAAACATATACTAGTGATTGGGAAATAATTTCATTTTCCTCCTTATCCTAAGTGAGAAGACTAATGTTTTCGATATTGAGTTGTTTTCTACATCAAATGCACTGAAGTGGTCTACAAAGTCTCATATGGATAACTGAATAATGCTTATACATCACACAAGAGTGCAAATACGAATCTCAAGTGTTGTGTTTTTCACAAAACAGAATGACACGATATCCATCCATAAAAGTGATAAAAGGTATCTTATATTACTGGGGTGATTGTTTAAAATAAAAAATTCATACCTGTGCAGTTTTCCACAGTTCAGCAAACCCATCTTAAATCCAAAGGACTGATACCGATAACATAAAACAGACCAAATCTGCTCAGTAACAACTGATGAAGGTTTTATTCTGGATGGAGTTGTGCTTGTATGATCTCCCGCGATTGATGAAGAGAGAGACTGTGGAGAAGCTACGGCTAAAAGCCAAACACTATCCTTTTTATCTTCAACATGTTCAATAAATTCGGATTCACTGTCAAATACAATGCTATTTGGTTTGAAACTAGATGACGCGTAATCCAAATTTACAGACTGATGAAACGGATTAACTAGTTTTCTGTACAGAAGTGCATCTGGGGAGTTTGAGAAATTTGTGTTTGCAAACTTCAACTGCTCAGCTTCGGCATTTGAAAGTTCACTCGAAGTAATGACACCTACAATAAAACAATTAGTCCAAAGGTTATCATGCGTGCGACACAAGAAACTCCATCCTCCAAAATTTAAGTTGGCAAGTATTTAGTTATGGCATGGATTAGGAAAAATCGTTAAACGAGCGAAAATAACTAATTGTTTAGTGAACATCCTCAGAGCTTTTAGCAAGGAGGGACAACAAGAAAAGAATAAAACACTTTGATAAAACATAGTCAATCATTTTAAAAAAACGTAGAACACATGTGCATTGGTTTACATCAATACAGCGAGATAAATTTATCAAGACAAATACCATAGTAGAAGTAGTTAAAAACCCAATGGTAGTTGAAAGGATTAGGCATAGACAATATGATTTGATAAGAATAAATAAAAGGCATGAGATACTTTAGAACTCAAAATTTAGGGTAAGACGAAGGGTAAATGTATCTAGGCCATCGCCACCGATTTTAAGCTATGTCACCCAGCCCCTCCAACCACTGACCATAACAATCGTGTGAACCCCAATCAGAGTTTGTACCTATCTACTATCGTGTGGAATATTATTATATCAAAACACACTACTTCAATACTATCATAAGTGACCGTGATGTTCAAATTTTATTCTACTAATCGATCAACGTTTATAGTACATCTGATGCATATTTATAAATTTCTTGAATGATGCCAATATCCATCAGTTAAAATGCTGGATGTAATCTAGTTAGTTCAAAATAAGAAACAAATTATTTTGGATCTAGTAGGAACACCACCGATAAAACATAGCACATTTACCCATCAAGTTAAAGGAATCTGACTGCATATGTACTAATTAGAATTTTTGTAAATGAAAACAAGTTAGAGCAAATCAGTTGGGATAAGAATTTTAATAATGAAGGTATGGTGAAAAAGAAATGGCACCGCCAATGATAATAGGATGAAGTGATAACAAAACTAGGCTCATCATAAAAAACAATTTGCTTTATATCGCACAAGATGATTTGAGTTTTCGCACGACTACAGATACAGTTTTCACACAACGTAACGATTTTAAGTTCGGCCACACAATCCACTTTAAGGATATCTTTATCAACATAAATGACTAACCTCCCCGAATTTGCTTATCGGAGTTCTGAGGTTCGAATGTTCTTGTAGTAGTTAAATAATTGGTTCGACCATCTTCAAATCCACATCCAAAACATCAACATCTTTCATTATAAATAACTTATCTGAGTGTACTTTTTTTAAATGTAACTAAAACTGTTTACTTACAGTGACCAGTGTATAAAATGAAGGGGAAATATCGCATTACCATGATGATATTCTATTTTTATCAAGTTATAGGAAATTATGAGATGGAATATATATTCTGAATGCTAAATGTACGGTAATGGTCAACAATAACTACAGCTAACCTCTAGAAAATACAAATTTATTTGACTATATCGAACGACTATCAGAGCCATAATATTTTATCAAAGCTAAAATGGTAATTCAGATTGATTGCTGGTTTTTGTGTCCTGAAGTCAATAGTGAGTACTAATTTTATCCTTAACCCATCACATCAAATGCAATTGGTGGCGGTTGGAGTGGCAATAATGACAAAGACTTAAGTCTAGAGCGAAAATAAAAATGATTCACGACTTATACAAATATTTAGCTGCTAAAGTTGCCCGACACTATATAAAAAGAGACCAAAAAGAGTAGAGGAAAACAACACCGACGACGGCAGAAAGCTTCACATACGAGACAAGGTACAAGAAAATAAAATTACGGGATGGGAAATCTAAAATAACGACCTCGTGTTTTAGATGGTAGAGAAGTAACGTCAACATAAGACTATTTATTTGGAAAAGGGAATTCATTCAATGAAGTATTTAGAATGTAGACATACATAGGTACACGCGTGTCTCAGAATATAAGGCACCCAGCATCCAAACAATGGTTTGAAGATGAAGATCTGGGACTACTTATTTCAGTGAGAGTTGTCAGCTTGTACTTCTTATCTCGGCGCAAAATATGTGATTCAAAAAGCAAGTATTTGAAACAGTGCTTAGTTTAATTACAATAAACTAGAGAAATCTATGGTGGGATGCCTCTTAACGTCAGACGCCAAATATCTTCTAATGAACAAAAAATTACGAAAGAAAATTATGCAGACAGCTTGAAAAGGAATGGACAAAATGTATTGCAAGTGAGTGATAGTTTATAGTCGTGTAAGACTACCGTCAAATGCGTGAGGTATAGAAATATAATTTTGTAAGCAGGCAGTTTTATTCTGTCTATTTACAACTTCATTTTTACTGTATGGCGCATATACGTTTGGTGCCTCTTTTCACCAATGTTTATATGTTCAAATAAATAAATGCAAGTGGTTCCCAATTTAGCGGTAATAAATTAAGATAAGGGTATGTAAATAAGATTTAGGATATATCAGGAAAAATATTAGTACAAGTACCAAACCTAAAGTATGTCTTCTATTCACTGAAAAACTCATTTTTTGAATTATGTACTATAATTTACGTTGTTTATTGAACAACCTTATATATTCCGCTCTGAATATGACCACAATTACAAGTACTGCCATTAAAATATGAACATACAAAAAACATCTACTTCAAAAATTAGATTGCATGCAGAGATCAAAAGCTAGAGGTTTATACACTGAGTTTACGAATTATTTGCCATATCATCAAAACTTAGATTTCCTTAAGTCATATCTCCAATGCCAAGCCTTTTCTGTTAACACTAATATTGTAATGACCCTGATTAATCTACAGTTTGTCGAAATGGTCTACCCGTGCTAATAAAGTATGGAAACCTGAAACGGTATATGCATGTGCCTGGTTCTGCATTGTGTGTAACTGACTGACTTGGTTTCTCAATGTGTATCCATGTGTACAATTATACCCTAAACTACAGAACATTCACCTTCACTGTACGTAGGACCCAAACCACACATGAATACCGTTTTTCAGTAGATTTTAGGCGGATTTTAAAAATCTCATGGACTAAACAACAAATACAAATACCTAGGTATAAATTAAATTACCGGTAGAGTTAACTGCAAACTCAATATCATTAAGTTCAACGGAAGAATAAAGCACCCCACGCTGATTTAAAACAGCTCTTAGTTGAGAAACGGTTTTCGGACTTCGTTTTTCATTCATATCTTCTCTAAAGTCATCACTTTCAGGAAGTTCAGCTTCGAAATCCGCAATAGCTTCGTCTAGAAGTTTGTACATGTACGCGGCTGAACAGATTGAAAGCGTAAAACATGTTATTAGACTAACATGTGAACGGAGACGCTTAAGTTCAGAGTGTTCGCGTAAAACTGTACTCAGTTGAGGACACATGTACGAAAAGAGAGAAAACTACGTCAAAGTTCGCGACGTCAAGCACATAAACGACCTCGAATCTTATGCATTAAAACAGTTGGGTGTTAATGGTTTTTAGAAAACAAATCATATCAGACAACCAGGCTTTTTCCAAAGCTACTTGATGTCAAATATAGTTTTTAGTCTCTTATCGTGTTTAATAATATGAGTCTAGCTTAATGTTCTCAATTACGTATTTGAAAACGATAGTTTGCTGAAAGTCTATGGGCTGTGAGTGAGTATATTTCGAATCATTGCAAAACTCTAGTCAAGCTACTCTTACTTCAGGGTAATTTCAGTCTGTGGTATAACTTTGGTCGAAGATATGATATACACTGATAACATTGACGGCTATTTTAGACCAGTTTGACGGTAGAACTTTCCACATATTCTTCAACAGTTTTATTCGTCCCCATTTCAGTTTCAGTTTCAGTTTGGAAAGGACGGGAGGCTTGATGGCCGGTGTTAGTCCTGGCAATGATGGTCTCTCAGCTGATCCAGCTTTCTTTTGAAGGAGTCGACGGATGGAGCCTCAACCAGGTGCTGAGGTGATGAATTCCACTAGTTGATTATTCGATGGGAAAGTCGGTGGTCAGCTGACAAGTAATTCGTTCTGGGCTTGTGAACTTCTTTGGAGTGTCCTCGTAGATTTTCTGTTTTGGAAGACAAGAAAAATGAGGGCATATCAGGTGCAAATTTGTCATTAAGCAATTTGAAAACTGTAATCAAGTCGCCTCTGATTCTTCTATATGACAGCGGGAATAGGTTTAGCTTGGTCAGTCTAGTACCATACGGGAGCTTCGCTATTCCGGGAATCAGCCTAGTTGCTGTTCTCTGAACCCCTTCCAAGAGTTCACTGTCTTTTTTAGACAGGGACTGGCTGCTTGTATGCAGTACTCATGTTTAGGGCGTACGAACACTGTATACAAAGTCAGAGACGTTTTAGCGTCAAGATGCCTAAAAGCCCTGCGTATGGACCATAAATTTCTAAAACCTTTGGCGGCTATTGCACGGCAGTGTGCAGTAGTCTTTAAGTCTTGACTAACGATGACGCCTAAGTCATTGTGTGCTTGGACAATAGGTAACTCAGTGTTATTCATCGTGTATGTATCTGTACTCTGTTGGCCAATATGCATCACAATACACTTGGAAGTGTTTATCGGCAATTGCCAGGTTTGGGACCATTCAGATAATCTCTCCAGAGTAAGGAAACATAGTATTTCCTCCCTACCTCCAAAAGGATAAGGACACTCTAGATTGTATCTAACGGCGGGCCACGAAATCAGTTCAGGGACTCAAATCAAAACATTATGAAGAGCGCCCCCAATCACTTAAACTTTACCCGTAAGAGTAAATGCATCTTAGAGGTGACCCTTTTATGGCTTACAGTATAGTTAACGCTTCTGATCATCCCCTTAAACATCTGTTTAGGCTTAGTCACAATACTTACCTAAGGGGTAACTCTCAGAAACTGTAGACTCAACACAGCAGAACGGACTGTAGACACAACTTCTACTCCTTAAGAGTTGTCAGATGCTGGAATTCGCTGCCGACTGAGTTAGTCCAAGTGACTTCTCAGGAGTCCTTTAAAAGGAAACTTGACATATTCTTAAGGACTAAGGATAACATCTTATTGTGATTTACCAATTTCTTTTTCTTCTAATATCGTTAATATACATAGGTTCCTGCCTGGAGGTATTGTCGATCTACTGCTACTAGACACGGAGGCCTGTTGAGCGAAATCTTCTTCTATTCCGTCCACAACCACTTGAACTGCATGATTTCGAATTCAAAATACAGTACTTTCGTTCATCTAGTACTTCTTGGTTAAATTGCGTTATTTCTGGGATTCCTAGTTTATACTGAAGATACCACTACAGTACTATGAACTCAACCATCCCATGATGATTAGACAGAATAACACTGATAATTACTCGTTCATTAACTTGTTAGTTATAGAAGGGGTTTTGTGGAGATTTAGTATTTATTATAGTTGAACTTGTTGTAGATATCTCAGTTCTAAAAACTGTCCGTAAGCCTGAGTAATCCAGTGAAAGCTATGAAGGTAGATGACCAGCTTCTTTGTGATCATAGAAACCCCATCCTGATAATTGTCAAGTAACAGGAAACCCAGGTCAGCGTCTCTCTCGCAATCATCTAGCGGACACTAATTATATTTTGTTAAGGCTTTTGGGAGACTCATAGGAGAAAGTTGAGAAGTTGGAAGGAAAATAATAAAAGTGGAAAATTGAAACACATGAGAGAGCGAAATTATTTCCAGAGAAACAGCCACCAACTCTATTCTTTGAACATACATTTCTGAAAGTCTTTGAACTAATAAAAATATAGCACAGAGACTGGATTTATTCAACATACTGGTGAAGGTTGTATCGCAGTGGCAGAATATGCACTGTTTTTGTCATCTTTGTAAGCCAGGATATATGCCGTGTCGTTTGGCATTCTTTTCAGATTGGTTCACAGCTTTTTGAAGTTATTAGTATCTTAAATGACCCGAATATGATTGTTTATACAACTTTCATACTGCCGATGCTGTTTTACGGAGGTTTGATTATTTTTCACATCTCCATGCATCTGCTTGCACAAAGGTTTTTATCAAGCAATTTTTGACTTGCAACAGTAGTCTCGGTCTCGTGTATAATCTTCATTGTCCTGCAAACAACATTTAAGTGATCAAAGTGAGTAATTTCATCCATGCCTTGTAGTTAACGTCGAGTCACGATTGATAATGTTCATCTTTACTGCGTGCCGGAAATGTTTGATGGCACAGTAGGCTGCTAGCAGTTCTCAACCAAAAGCGCTATATCTCGTCTCCGTGGGAGTGAGGCGTCGTAAGGAGAATTAGAGAGGTTGCCGACTTCCGGAGATGTTCTGTTTCATAACAGCTCCTATGGTGAAATTCGATCCTTCAACCGCTATACTAAGCGTGGCTGATGGGTCAGGATGCAGGAGTAGTGTGTCTTGGACTAGAGCAATCTTGATCTCTGAAAATGTAATACATGCGGCACTGTTCAATTCCGACTTGCGTGGATTACCACCAAGTAAGTCGGTTAATGGTCGTAACCGTTCTGCCGTGTGTGGGATGAAACGTCGGTAGAAGTTAACCAAACCGAGAAATGCCTTCAGTTTTTCGAGTGTGGACGGTACGGTGTACTCCATTATTGCACGTACTTTGTCCTCACAAGGTAAAATACTCTCCTGCTTAATGATGTGACCCAATAATTTTATTTCCGGTTTCCCAAGTTCATACTTGTCCGGGTTGCTTATTATTCCATAATCCGAAAGGCCCTGGAATAGGAGTGTTAGGTGCTGGTTATGTTCATCTACGTTTGATGATGCGATTAGCATGTCATCAATATAGATGTGAACAAAATCTTGGTCTCGTATCATGCTATCTATAAACCTTTGGAAAGTTTGAGCATCATGTAGTAATCTAAGGAGTCGTGATAGCGATTTTCGTGACGTCTCCAAGAGCGGCTGGGATCTGATGATATGCTCGTATCAGATCGATCTTAGAAAAAATAGTCGTGCCCTTGAGTGATGCCATGGTGTCACGTATGTAGAGGATAGAGTAGCTATCAAAACGTGTAACTACATTCATGCTCGGTAATCGCCACATAGTCCCCAACTAACCTATCCTCTTTGCTAACCATGTGGAGAGGTGAGGCCCAGGGACTGTGAGAAGGGCGAATAATTCTAGTGGCTAGTAAGTTGTCAAGCTGATTTGTCCGGTGCCGGTCGACTAGGTTTTGCCATGACCGGGGGTCCGGGGCTGACTGTGTGGTGTGCCATAGGATTGGTCACCGATGGGATCTCCTCGAGGGGTTTAGTTGATTAAAGGAATTTCTGGAATAAAGTATGGAATACACCGTCACGCGAATGAAACGCACTTGTGATTCAGTACGCGTGTGCTTGAGCTTAAAAGCTCACGAATTTGCTGTTCCACGATGTATTGATTAGTTGAAGCCTACGTGAATCGACTAGCAATTCGTAGGGCTGTAGCGAATCGATACCAAGTATGGTTGTGGGAACATCAGCAATGATGAACGTCCACAGATGCTGTCGTCGGTTGCTCAGATTGACCGTATGCTGTTGTTTACCGTAGGCAGGAATGACTGAGACGTTCTCAGCGCGTAGTCGGAGCATTGTAGCTTGAGACACACTGTTACTAGTTGGTACGACAGAATCTTGGGCACCCGTGTCTACTAGGCCCCTAGCGTTAGTGCGATAATCGTGCAAGTAAAATGAACGGTCAAACTGGGGCGAAGAGCCGGTGAGTACGGCCGCATTTACTCACCGGCATGGGAGTTTCCCTCCCTATATGAGCAGGGGACTCAACAAAAGTGGGAAACGGCCCCAAATGCACGGTGGAACTAGCACCAACCAGAAATAGCTTCCGCAGCCGCCTTTTGGTGTGGCTTGGAAGATGACCGCTTAGGGCGAGTTGCTATGGTTTTACGGGAGTGTGACCTGGCTCGGGGGACTTAGATTTCCAGTATATTAGATCGACCTCGAAAACTTAGACGGGTATGAATACAGCCAACCCTATCATCATGAGCCGTGAGTCCACTAGCAACGAGATCGATGTTTGAACCTGATGTTGAGGCAACTGTATGGTTGTCTTGGGTCCTAGTCCTTGCCAGCATCTTTTCTCCTATAAGGGCCACCTGGTTAAGTGAGGTATCCTAGAGCAGAGCTGTAGTCGTTAGTTGTATATATGCTGGTAGAGATTGGAGCTACAATCACTTAACGATTTCGGAAACGGCTGTTGTGGGTCTTGCAAAAGATTTCAGGTGTGTGAGGTGATGGCCCAGTTTAGCATCCCCCATGGGGTGACGTGATTATAAAGCCTTCAACCGTTCTTCCCTTGAAGAAAGGTGTTAAGTCGGCTTCCAGCGAACTCCAACAGAGCCTCCAGAGGCTCAAAAAGAGTCCCAACCAATCAGAGTACGACAGGACATTCTGGAGTTCCAACGTGGCATGCTACCATTGGTCAATAGCAATATATGTCGTTAATTGGATTGGCTGAATTAGGATGTTGATTTAACTTAAGCAAACATCTATAAATACCTACGATTTTCTGTACAAAGATGATCCTTGC